ACAAATGCCCTTGGGCAACCCATTCTCTCTCATTTTTTCAGGAAACTTCCCTCGGGGCCAGCCTCTGGCCCCAACTGTCCCCAAGACAGGCCCAGGGGTAATAGGGTTTGTCCCCTCCCAAACTCCTGGTCCAACACAAGCCCCCCACCTCTCTCCACGATTGCCTCCCTCCAGCCGGCAACCCCAGGCAGTGCAGGACTGGACCTCTGTGCCGCCACTGACACAGTACTAGACTCTATACAAGGACCTCAAATAATATCCACTGGGACCCTGGGACCCCCTCCGTATCATATGTGTGCCCTTATTCTTGGAAGAGCCTCTGCTACCTTACAAGGTGTCCAAGTTTTTCCTGGTATTATTGATAATGATTATACAGGAGAAATAAAAATTTTGGCCACGGCCATTAATGGAATTGGAGTTATTCCAGCTGGAACTAGGCTTGCACAATTGGTACTGCTCCCATTAAATTCAGGGGGTTCTTCCGCTGCTCAGACCACACCGTGAGGAACTGCTTCTTTGGGGTCTTCTGATGCGTATTGGGTTCAGCCTATCACTCAAAAAAGACCCACCCTCACCCTGCGAATTGAAGGAAAGGAGTTTCAGGGAATTTTGGATACTGGTGCAGATGCCACAGTTATTTCCCAAAAATATTGGCCACCAAGATGGACCCTTACCTTGTCCCTAACTGACCTTAAAGGCATAGGGCAGTCAAAAAACCCTTTGGTCAGCTCCAGGGTTCTTAATTGGACTGACAAAGAGGGCAATAGGAGAACTGTTACTCCTTTTGTTGTTCCTGACCTCCCTATTAACCTATGGGGCCGGGATATCTTGACCCAGATGGAAGTTATTCTTGCTAGTCCAATTCTGTGGTTACACATTAAATGCTCCGTATGGATTTTGTCCCTGGTATGGGTCTTGGAAAATCAGGACAAGGAACCGTTGAGCCCATCCAAGCTACCCAAAAAACAGATAAACATGGGCTTGGGTATTCAGATTTTTAGTATTGGCCCCTGACCCTCCTGTGCCCCATACAGATAAAATCATTTGGGAAACCCAAACCCCTGTGTGGGTGGATCAGTGGCCCCTTACCCAAGAAAAATTGGAGGCTGCCTCCATGTTAGTACAGGAACAGTTGGTGGCAGGCCACGTAGAACCCTCTACTTCACCATGGAATACTCCTATTTTTCTTATCAAGAAAAAATCAGGCAAATGGCGCCTTTTACAAGATCTACACGCCATTAATAAAGCTATGCGCCCAATGGGAGCACTACAGCCAGGCATTCCCACACCGGTGGCTATTCCCAGGGACTATTACAAAATGGTTATTGATTTAAAAGATTGTTTTATTACCATTCCCGTACATCCTGAGGACAGACCTTATTTTGCCTTTAGCCTTCCTCGCATTAACTTTCAAGGCCCCATGCAAAGATTTCAATGGAAGGTACTCCCCCAAGGTATGGCTAATAGCCCTAGCCTTTGTCAAAAATATGTTGCCCAGGCAGTGGACCCTGTGAGAAAATGATGGCAGTGCATCTATATATTACATTATGTGGATGAGTTGTTGATTGCTGCACCTGACACCCACGAACTTAGAAACTGCTATTTAGACCTTTATAAAGCCCTTACTGCCCTGGGACTACAGGTTGCTCCCGATAAAGTTCAAACACAGGACCCCTATACTTATTTGGCTCTAGAACTCCAAAATAATCAAATTTGGATTCCTCAAATTCAACTTCGTTTAGACCATCTTCACAACCTTAATGATTTTCAAAAGTTGCTTGGAGATATTCAATGGCTTAGGCCATACCTAAGGTTGCCCACCAGCGTGCTTTTGCCTCTTAATGAGATTTTTAAAAGTGATTCTGACCCCTCCTCTCCTCGCGAGCTTACTCCCAATGCACGAAATGCCTTAACCCAAGTTACTGAGGCCATCGCCCAGCAGTTTGTTACACAGATTTCCTATAATCTTCCTCTGGTCTTAATTATTTTACATACCCTCATACACCCACAGGATTGTTTTGGCAACGGATTCCACACTCCAATAATAAGGGCAGCCCCCTGCTTTAGGTCTATTTACCCACCACCTCCCCAAGGTTATCACTGTTTACCCTGCCCAGGTAGCTTCTATCATTATCAAAGGTCGCTTGCTTTCTTGACAATATTTTGGCAAGGACCCTGATACCATTTTAATTCCATACACCAAAGACCAGACTCAATTTTTACTTCAGACTGGGGATGAATGGGGCATCGCCCTGTCAGGATTTTTAGGACTAATTGACAATCATCTCCCCAATGATCCCCTTTTATACTTCGCCCAGCTACATCCATTTGTTTTTCCCAAGTTACTCAAAAGGCTCCCATTCCTCAAGCCCTCACTGTCTTTACAGATGGCTCAAGCAATGGCCATGCGGCCTTTGTTGTTAACAACCATTCCACCACCTTGGATGCCCCTTACCAATCAGCCCAGCTTGTGGAGTTATTTGCTATAACACAGGTTTTTATGATGTTTTTTGATAAACCTATTAATATTTGTACAGATAGTGCTTACATCGCTCATTCTGTTCCCTTGCTAGAAATTTCACCCGCTGTTAAAGCTTCCTCCAATGTGGCATTTTTATTTACTCAGCTTCAACAGCAAATTCAGGCCAGGAGACATCCATTTTTTTCTGGGACACATTAGGGCATATTCTGATCTCCCTGGCCCTCTTACACAGGGTAACACTCAAGCTGATGTGGCCACTCGTTCCATTTTTCCAGTTTTTGTTGAGTCTTTCCAAAAGGCTACAGAATTACATAATCTCCACCATCTAAATTCCCAGAGTCTTCGATTGCTTTGTAAAATAACTAGACAACAAGCACGGGAGATAGTAAAGGCATGCCCTGCCTGTGTTGTCTCCCTTCCTGTACAACACCTGGGTGTTAACCCCCGTGGACTGCTACCCAATCAAATCTGGCAAATGGATGTTACCCATTTTCTTGAATTTGGAAAAACACGATATATATATGTCTCCATAGACACATTTAGCGGGTTCGTTTTTGCTTCAGCACACTCAGGAGAAACTGCCAAAGATGTTCTCTCTCACCTTGTTTTAGCCTTTTCTGTAATGGGAAAACCAGCCCACATAAAGACAGACAATGGCCCTGCCTATACCAGTGCCAAGTTGAAACAGTTTTGTGCTATTTTTCAGATTTGTCATACTACTGGGATTCCCTATAACCCCAAGGTCAGGGCATCATAGAACGAGCCCACCACACCCTAAAAACCTGGCTTACTCACCTCAAAGCCTCTGCCTTTTCATTTTCCACTCCTAGGGATCGCCTTAGTCACACATTGTTCGCCCTTAATTTTCTAACTCTGGACAATGAAGGCCACTTGGCAGCTGACAGGCATTGGCACCCATCTTCCAGTTCTGCTCGCCCATCTGTCATGTGGCGAGACCCCCTTACAGGCAAATGGAAGGGCCCAGATCCTGTTCTTATCTGGGGGCTAGGTTCAGCCTGTATTTTAGATCAAGAACAAGCAGCCCCAAGGTGGCTGCCAGAACGCTTGATAAAACAGGTGAATGGCTTACCACAACCCAGGGGAAACCTTCCCTCTGAGGATGATTCCTTTTCTCTTACAGATGCAGCTAGAACTCCAGACATGGACCCTCCTGTTTGAAGAGTTTCTTTTAAAGGGGTTTTGTATATGGTGGCTTTGGCCCTCCAGCTACAAAAAATCTCATGACCACTCTTTTTGGTGTCCCCTGCGAATGCAAAGGGGGATTTTATTCAGCCCCCAGTAGCTGGAGCCAAATGATTGACTGTGGAAACAAAGTGGCTTACCTTCGTGCAACAGTACAGACCAACATCAGAGGATTGCTTTAAATAAGCTTATAACTTTTATTAAACAACAGATTGATCTCTTGGCTTCTAAGCCCATACAGGTTCATCACCATCACCTAGATATGGCAGACCAAGGCATTAAGATCTAGGATTTACTCCAGGCTTTTAATTAGTGTTTTGCCATGAGCTTGTTCCAGTGGGAACCCCCCCTTCTTTTTTCTTATTTAGAAAACCCTTCTCCTTATTCATAACTCCTGACCATTCAGCGGGCAAGACCTATTGCCATAAGGGATAGGTTCGCCCCTCCTCCTATAGGCCCTTCCACTTGGGGGAGGATGCACCTATGGGAGGAAGAAAAAAATGCTCTAATCAAGGGTGCAGGTAAGACTGCAGGAGGATGGATCTGCGAGATCCCAAAACCCAAGTCCCCTGAGTGGCAAGCTCTGGTGCATGACAGTTGGCATGCATACCCACAAGCCATCTCCTCAAAAAAAATGCCAAGGCCTGTAAAATTCCCCTCCCCAAGTGAGGATGCTCGCTCAGGAGCAGAGAAAAACCCTGGGCCCTTAGAGGAACAGAGCCTCTGTCACCCCCTTAAAAAGAGCAGCCAACAATTGATGGTCAATTTTCTAAATAAGAAAGGGGGAGATGTTGGGAGCCAAAAGTTGAGTCTCTCAACATAATAGGCTTGACTATCTCACTGGAACATCTTGAGGCTGAGTTTACAGAATCCGACCCTCATCCTGTCCTAAGTAAACATCCTGCAACTGCTAACGGCCACCCTTTCCCCCTGCCCTAAGCAAACATCCTGCACTGCTATGGCCAATGAAAAAGCTTCCTTATTCCAAGCATATAAATACCCCTGTGTGAAAAATAAAAATTTGCAGCTTGATCAGAACCCCTGTCTTGCTGTCATTCTTCGTGTCTCTTGTCTCTTCATTCCTTCTCGCTTAGGTTCACTGCCCTCGTTGACATCCTGCGGGTCGGGACATATAAAGATAAAAGTTGAATGAGCATACCACGAATGGAGAAGGGGGATATTTTCACAGGACCAGTATTTTCCCCATCCCATCTCCATTTGATGTCAATCAAAATATACCATTGGCCATTTAGTTTAAAAGTAAAGAAAAAGGAAAAAGAAAAGCAATATGCTTGTGCACATACACCAGTTACTTTATGTACAATAAAGGAATGGGGAAAGGGAAAATGAAAGAATAGAGAAAACTATACTGTAGTAGTCAGGATGTGGTGGAACCAAATTGCAGTTTTCTAATTAAGAATGTATTCTTGGTCTATAAGAACAAAGTTCTGGAGCAAAGTAGCAGGTTCCCTTTATTAGTAGACACCTCCTGTCTGCTGCTGGAACACATTAATTGTATCTTCATCCTTCATTTCCACCTGTGCAGGTGTATCTGTGTCATCGATTAGCTGCCCATCAAATCAGAATCTGATCTGCCTCATTGACAAACCCTGTGGTTCACAATAGGCTTCCATTAGTTTACCAAGTGGTGTGTGCCTCTTCATCTTAAACTGCACCACAGAACCATCCTGACCCGCCACCTTCAAAATAATATGATCGTTGTTCTCAGTCTTGACTCCTTCCTTGGGCTTTTTGTCAGCCATCGCGAGCGCCGGAGTCTCCTCAGGTGCCGCTTCACAAAAGAGGTCCCTGGTCCACACCGAACAAGCACACAGGCAGTACCACAGCGGCTGGAGGAGGTGGCAGCGGTGGACACAGGATGATTCTTTAGTGCTGAGGAGAGTGGAGGGGAGTGCTGGGCCTTTATAGCCCAAAGAGGGCCTGGCTTTGCATACAGATCATACCAGGAAGGAGACCTGATGAGTGTGAGCTGGCTCTCCTTGTCAGAGGGCATTCCTGTAGTCAGCAGCAGTCCAAGTGTCTGGTGGGTATGCCTTTGTTTTTGAAATGACTCTGGATAGAACTCTCCAGTGTCCCCCATAGGGTAGCTGGTTAAAGTGACCCTTTAGGGCACAGCCCTGAGATTTCCTCCCCAGAGTCTGGCAAGTCTGCTAGAGAAAAAGAGTTCTGCTTTCAAACTCACAAGTCTCAAGTCCATGGAGCTGTGTGATATTTCTTGCAGACCTCAGTCCTCAGTTCCTGACTGCTCACCTGCTCTGGCAGGAGCTGAAGGGCTCCTCTATTGTCACCATTACCTGTCAGAGCTGCTGCTGCTGAATGCCGAGGGGCCACTGGAAGCATACATTTCTGTCCACAAAACCCAGGGTTCCCGGAGGGAATTGAGTAGAAAGTGTCTTAGGCTCTAAGGAGCCAGCTTCTCTGTGAGGTGGCCAAGTTATTGGTTAGCAGTGCCTGAACCCAGGACAAGTGGAAGTTCTCTTAGGGCATGACAGGGCATAACAGGGTCTGGCCAGGGAATAGAGCAAGTGCCCTGAGGACCTGTGGGGCCTCACAAAAGACAACCGGAAGTGTCCGAAGCCTACATTGGGCCCTAACCAAATGAGACCGGAAGTGTTCTGAGCACAAGGTTGGGCCTGACTAGGGGTGACAGAGAGTGTTTGGCTAGCCATGGTCTGTGAACTTGTGTTAAATTAAGGGAGGAGGAAGAGTGAGGAAATGGCTGAGAGACAGCATGGCAGTAGCTGTTTGGAGGACTGTGATCTCCAGGGCTGCAGGATGTTGTTCCTGGCTTGCATGAACTCTGGGCTGGATGCTCACTCCATGCCAGTCACACAGCCTCAAGTGATCTGGCTCCTGTCAGTTCTAGGAAGTTCCTGTTCATTGTGACTTCCAATTTAGCCTGGTCAGTTTCTATGTGTCCTTCAGACCCCAAGGTAGCCCTCTCTGGTTTTAATTCAATTCTACCCTCTCCAACACCATCTTCTCCTAATACTTTGTATAGATCTTCATAGCTTTCAGACAGCTTATAAACATATGTTCATGGTGACAGCATATCAATGTTTCTCCCTTCCCCCTAGCTGTGTAAGCTGCTCACCAGATTCCTAGGGCCTGGCTTGGCACACAGGAGCCATGCTCTGAATGAAGCAAAGAGTAAAAGAAGTGAGTGCAGTGCTGGAGGAGCGAGGAGAACCAGGGAGTCTCTTAGATCACACAGTCTCCCTGAAAATAAATCATTCTGCCATATTTGGTTCTCTCAGCATTGTTCTGGTTTGGTTGTTTTTTTTTTTATTTTATTTTATTTTTATTTTATTTTATTTGTAAACATACTGTACAGAGGGGTTACAATTACATGGGCAGGATAATGCGTACATTTCTTACCAAGCATTGCAGCCTCCTCCTTTCTTTACCCTTCATATCCCTTCCCAGCCTCCCCCCTCTCCCCCAGTCCCAATCCTTCCTCCCCCCCCAAACCAACATTGTAAAGCTCGTTTTGGACATGACAACTTGTACTTCTCATTGTTGCAACAGGTCCACCTGTATCCTTTTTTTTTTTTTTGGGTCCGGCCGTGGGGCCTGAACTCTGGGCCTGGGCGCTGTCCCTCAGCTCTTCAGCTCAAGGCTAGCGCTCTGCCACTTGAGGCACAGCACCACTTCTGGCTTTTTTCTTTTTGCTTATGTAGTGCTGAGGAATCGAACCCAGGGCCTCGAGCATGCAAGGCAAGTGCTCTACCACTGAGCCACCTTCCCAGCCCCTCCACCTGTATCCTTAAATGACTTGTTTTTCCCCATCTCCTCCACAAGTTATACTGACATCAAATATAGTGAAAGAACGGGTTATACTGTGGGGGAGGGACATACAAAGCTACAAAGTAATAATCTTATAAATGAGTTAGAGACACATGCATGAAAGAAAAAAACATTAAAATACATATCTAAGGGTTCATTTTCCTAACATCACATTATCTGACCTTTTCCGCTTGACTCATACATATACTAGATATTGCAAATAAGGGAAACCATGGGACATATGTTTCTTTGGGCCTGGCTTACTTCACTTAATATAATTTTTTTTTTTGTCAGCCCTGGGGCTTGAACTCTGGGCCTGGGCCCTGTCCCTCAGCTCTTCAGCTCAAGGTAAGCACTCTACCATTGAGCTACAGCGCCACTTCCGGTTTTCTGGTAGTTTATTGGAGATAGGAGTCTCACGCTCTCTCCTGCCCGGGCTGGCTTTGAACCGCAATCCTCAGATCTCAGCCTCCTGAGTAGCTAGGATTACAGGCGTGAGCCACCAGCACCCGGCTCGCTTAATATAATTTTTTCCAAGTCTTTCCATTTCCTAACAAATGGGGCAATGTCATTCTTTCTGATGGAGGCATAGAATTCCATTGTGTATATATACCACATTTTCTTGATCCATTCATCTACTGAGGGGCATCTGGGTTGGTTCCAGATCTTAGCTATGGTAAATAATGCTGCAATAAACATAGTTGTGCTGGCAGCTTTAGTGTGGTCTTGTTTGTAATCATTTGGGTAAATGCCCAAAAGTGGGATTGCTGGGTCATAGGGGAGTTCTATGTGGAGTCTTTTGAGGAACCTCCATACTGCTTTCCAAAGTGGTTGAACAAGTTTACATTCCCACCAACAATGAAGTAAGGTTCCCTTCTGTCCACATCCCCTCCAGCATCTGTTGTTGTTAGAGTTCTTGATTTTTGTCATTCTAACTGGAGGGAGGTGGTATCTCAATGTTGTTTTGATTTGCATTTCTTTTATGGCTAGGGATGTTGAGCATTTCTTCATGTGTCTATTGGCCATCCTTCTTTCTTCTTCAGAGAAGTTTCTCTTTAAGTCTTTCACCCACTTGTTTATTGGGCAGTTGTTTCTTTGAGGATTTGTTGTTGGGTGGTTTAATTTTTTGGGTTCCAAGTATATTTTAGATATGACACCCTTGTCCGTTGTATGGCTAGTAAAGATCTTCTCCCAATCCGTGGGCTTTCTATTGATCTTGCTAGCTATGTCCTTTGCCATGCAGAAGCTCTGCAACTTTATGCAATCCCATTTATCCAACCTTTCTTTGATTTGTTGTGTTTCCGGGTCTCTATTCAGAAAATTTCAGCCTGAGCCAAGGAGACCTAGGGTTTCTCCTATTCCATCCTGTAATGTTTTCAGAGTGTCTGCTTTGACTTCCAGGTCTTTGATCCATCTGGAGTTAATTCTGGTGCAGGGTGATATATAAGGATCTAGCTTTAGTTTTCTACAAGTCGTTAACCAGTTTTGCCAGCACCATTTACTGAAGAGGCTTTCTTTGTTCCATTCTATTGTTTTAGCTCCCTTATTGAAGATTAGAGGGCTATAGGTCTGTAGGTTCATTTCTGGGTTTTCAATTCTATTGCATTGGTCCTGAGGTCTGTTCTTATGCCAATACCAAGCTGTTTTGATTACTATGGCTTTATAGTAGAGTTTGAAATTTGGTATTGATATTCCTCGAGCAGTGTTCTTTCCGTTGAGGAGCGTTTTTGCTATTCGGGGTCTTTTATTGTTCCATATGAATTTTTGGATTGCCTCTTCTATTTCCTTGAAGAATGAGGTTGGAATTTTGTTGGTATCATGTTGAATTTGTAGATAGCCTTGGGAAGTATTGCAATTTTCACAATGTTAATCTTTCCAATCCAGGAGTATGGGAGGTTTTGCCATTTTTTAAGTTCTGTGTTGATTTCCTTTTTCAAGATTTTAACGTTTTCATCATAGAGGTCCTTCACTTCTTTGGTTAAGTTAATTCCTAGGTATTTTATTTTTTGTGGGGCTATTACAAATGGAGTTGCTTTCCTAATTGCAGCCACACTTTTCTCATTGTTGGCATACAGAAAAGCCATTGATTTTGGGGGGTTAATTTTATACCCTGCTACTTTGCCAAAGTTTTGAATCAGCTTGAGTAATTTGGGAGTGGAGTCCATGGGATTCTTTAAATAAAAGATCATGTTGTCTGCAGAGAGGGAGAGTTTTATTTCTTCTTTCCCTATTTGGATCCCCTTTATGTCTGCATCTTGTCTTATTGCTGTAGCTAGGCATTCTAATAGTAGATTGAAGAGTAGTGGAGAGAGTGGACATCCTTGTCTTATTCCTTGGAACTGGAACAAGACAAGGATGTCCACTCTCCACTTCTCTTCAATCTAGTACTTTCAGACTTTTTAAAGAGGTTTATCATGATAAAAACCCATGCTCCTTGAGATAGGAAAATTACAAAGAAGGAAATGTCAATCACAGGTTTGGAGGTGCGGCTAAGTTGGTAGAGCACTAGCCAGTGAGTGAAAGCATAAGATACTAAATTCAAGTCCCTGTCTCAGACCAAAAAAAGAAAGAAAAAGAAAGTATAAATCACAATTTTATCATGCAGTAATGAAGTATACCTATGGAGTCATTTTTCTATGTGCTTTCTATAGGGAAATTGAGCCATGCTATATAGTTTATCTTGTAATCAACTTTAATTAGTTAGTGATATTAATATATCAAGGCTACAACTCTTTTTACTGACAAAGCTGATATAAATCTATTCCAAAGGCCATGTGCTGTTCACTTGAGGGGAGCGTTATGGCTGATCCCACCAATGCCCTGTTCTCCTATCTGTAAGTTTGTTTCTAATTGTTCGTGGTGATAACATGATTTGACTTTGAGGCTTGACATGGGTTTTCAGCAGAGCTCTGATCAGGAATAGGACAGAGTCCAGAGAGTACAGAAGGAGCCAGGG